CCAGTGCCCCACGTCCACTGCACTGTCCTTCTGCCTTTCTCACAAACCAGCCTTTTCTCCCCCCTCTGTGGAAATAACACCCGGAGCAGCTCTCTCTTAAAGCACTCTCACTTAAAGCAATAATGAAATATTGTAATTCAGGAGAAATGGGCCTGAGGTGAAAACAGGCATGAGAGTGGTTGTTGATTGTTTGGAAGGACATGGCTGTGTCTTTCCTCTGGACAAAAAGCACTAAATATTTTGCTCAACCCAGGCTTGTAACACCAGGAAAACAGAAAATTAACCTGTCAGCTAGATCAGCTGATTTTCCTTAAAGCCCAGGGTATTTTGGGAAGACTGCTAATGCAAACATAGGTTGACCTGCCCAGAGGGGTCTCCCCGAGGGTCCCAAGCCCTTAATGCCATAGCTACTGCAGATTCAGCAGGACTCCAGGTGCACCAGAAACCAACAGACATGTTCTAAAAACCCTGTGACAGGAAATGCTCCCAGGTATTACAGTCTTCTGTTCCCAATGAATCTGTAGCCTAGAGATCAAAACCAAATACCTTTCACCTCCTCACTGTAGCAGCAGAAGTCATTTCCCACCTGCTTATGGGGACACAGTTGAAAAGTGGTTTACCCCAGAGCTGGAAACCTCCAGAGAGCTACAAATAGCTGGGCTTCACCCACAAGCCAAGGTGGCACCAGCTGTCCCCACACCCATGGCCATCCAGCCCACAGCAACCCATTCCTGCACTCACATCACATCAGGCATCACCAACAGCCCCGTTATCCTCCTCTGTCCTGTCCAAATCCCAACATCCAAAAAGGACTCCTCCAAGGATACTCCCCACTGCTTACTGAGAGGTTTTGGATTCCTGAAAGGTGAATAAGAAATAAGGTTAACCCCTTCCTTTCAGTCAGCTTGGTGGCTTGGGCTGTGCTGTGACCCAAGGAAAAGGATGGTTGGAAAGAGCCACCTGGCTCTGTGCTGGCTCTCCCCCCTTGGCTCCACGGCACAGGCAGCAGCACGCCAGTGCCTCACTGGCTGCCTTTACTCTTTTCTGAGAGTAAAACAGAGAAGGTGGTGGCTGGGGAGGGAGGACAAAGGTCTTGTAGCAGCTGAAACTTGTTGCTAGAAGAGCAGATACACCGGGACTATTTAGGCTTTTTCAGGGCTTAGAGCAAAGGTGCCAGCAGGTCAGCACGCTCTGCGGGGAGCCAGGAAAACTGCTGCGAGGCCAGTTTGCCTCAACACACTGACTGTGCTCCCGGAGCCAGACAGCAAATGCTGCAGGGTGAGGAGCTGTGGGTGGATTTCACTGTTGGCTAAAACACGGGAACAACTGCTCGAGGAATGTAACATGACGTGACAGGCTGGTGAGTGGGTGGGCTGGCTGAAAAAACAGTCACCAGAAGAGGAGTGGCCTGGTTGAAGCCCCCACAGAGGGGGATGTGCTAACAATGAATGGAAACCACCCTGAGGAGTCCATGGTGCAACTGGACACAGCCACAGTTCTCAGGCCATGCGATCTGCTTGCCTTTACCGGCAGTAGATTTAATTCCTGCCCTGGTTTTCAGCTTTATCACCGTATTTGAAGCCTCTCTTCAACCCTCACTAAAACTGCTGTGTGAACCAAGTGAGTGCAGCAAGATCTGAGGAAATTTTGTACACACTGCCCTAATGAAACCTCTGCATCTTGCCTACAGCCATAAATCTGCCACCAGGGCAGTGGCAATGTAACATGAGCTAAGGTACATGGGGATAAACACTCCACCATGCCAGAGCCCCTGTGGTGTAGGAACACCTGCAACAGCCTTAAAACCTGGGCAAAGCAGAACTCATGTTCTCTTGCTGCTTTTCCTTGGCTACACTATCAAAAGGCGATAAAGGGGGACATGTTTCCAGCCCTACTTTTCATTTTCACTGTGAACATCAACGTCCCCAGTGAAAGCTGTCCCCCATCAGAGCGTTTCGCAGGGCTTTCATTTCTCCTCCCCAGTTCTGTGCTCTTGGCTTTCACAGTGATGGCTCTACCTTTGCCAAAGGAGCTGATTCAGTATTTGGTTACACGCCCTTTGCTCTTTTTTTTTTTTTTTTAATCAAAGCAAAGAAAGAAGCCAAACTGGAAACTTGATATGAGTCCTCTTACTTGCAATGGGGAGAAATCATCTGCAGCAAGTATGACATACAGCAGTAGCAAACATGAGATGTCTAAGAGCCATTAAGCATTGAGATGCTCTCAAGCTCTTTGGCTTCCTGCAGGATACCAAGCACTTAATCACGAGAGTTTTGAAGTTTTTAAATGTCAAAGATGACACAGCTCTGCATAATGGGAATAGTATCAAGTGGGCCACAGCTGCCAGTTCCCCTCCTGGGCTCTGTACACGTAATGCTCCTAAAAAGGATCTCCAGCCTCACTTCACCAACAGAACTTAAATGATTTCGCAATGCAAGAGAAAAAGGAGGAAGACTCATCACAAGGCAATGTCACCACAGACTCCTCTTCACAGTTTTTCCTTCTGGGCTGTAGCAACCTGTACAACAAGGAGGGAAGCCACAAACCGAGCTGTCACAGGGTTAGAAAATCCAATAGGTGGTCAGCTGATATCAGGGCAGTGTCCTGTGGGACCACCATGTGTGCAGGGAGCAGACAACAACAAACCTGACACCGACCTGCTGTGGAAGTTCACAAAATTCTTGTCTCCTGCTACACAATGATGCCTGGATTAAGGTTACGTTCCTCCGTGCTGCATTTTGTCACGCAGACGCTATTTTGGTCAGAAAGTCAGCAAGCCCATATTTGGGAAGCTGTCCCACTGAAGGGCAGCATGAAGGGCAGTGACATGAAAAGGCTGCTTCTGAAGGCAGGCCTGGGGTTGCCTGGAGCCACAGGAAGCCCAAATCTTGCCTGCTGCTTCTCATTAACATGCCAACATCCTCTTCTCAGCCTGACCCTCGCCTCTCTCTCTTCCTTCAAACTGCATCCTGTGGGTGAGCTACTCCCACAACACAAACACTCAGGGAAAGACACTAAGGGGGTTGAGATGAAATCTCCCTTCTTATATGAAAAAGTCTTAGCGCTAGAGACTGGAAATGCAGAACTTAAACCATGAAGGAGATCTGCAGACACACAGGTGAAGGTGTAGACTGACAAACACTAAGTCCTCTGCTCAGAGACTTTTCCTCTTGTAACAACACACACCTGCAGCTGGAACTGCCACTCCATCTTCCTCAACATCAGCAACAGCCCAAGGGGACATCTCTGCCAGCCCAGGCAAGGGGTGCAGTGGCTGCTGGGCAGCTCTGGGCCAGGGGCTGAGGCTGCCAGATGTGCACACTAACCCAAACCACAGCCACACAGTGCTACCTTTGGAGACAAACTGGCTCAGGCAGGGCAGGCACCAGCCATGCAGCTCAAGAGCCAGCAGGATTTAAGCGCTGTGCATCTGTCTCTGGCTAATCTACCACTTGCCAAAGGGAGGATTAAAACCGTGAAGAACCTCTTGCCAGCTGTCCTTCTGGTGCACCTGAGGGCAGCAGGGACCAGACAAGCTTTTGTCACTTTAGTACAGTGACTGCCCACTCTCTGCAGCACCAAACCTCTCCTGACCCGCACACGCTGCTCCCACACAACAATCCACCCCTTTCAGGTGACAAACACCAACCCTCACAGCAGTCCAGGAGCTGCACATTGCAGGAACCAGACAGCTGAGGGTTGCAAACATCACTGACTTCACACACCCCTCAACTTGTGAGTTTTAAGTCAGCAAATCTCTTTATCTTGCTTGGTTTAGGAGGGTATTTCTTATCAGTCAACACCTATTAAAAAGTGGCAACTGGGAGAGGGCTTTTGAACTCAAGCCAGAAAAAAAAATATTTGCCTTGCTTCATAGTAGTATTGACGTTTGGTAATTGGCTAACCTAATTAAAAAAAAAAATCAACATTAATTGGATGTTTCAGTTGAAATAATTTCTTTTATCCAGCAGGTGTTTAGCTGCCCTACTGCAGTGAGATGTTACCTGTAAACTTCCAGGCTTGGGTGGATCCATAGATTTACCCCACCGGGTGGACAAGCGCTGGAACTGCAATTCCAGGAACAGTTGGGCTCATTTTATCAGGTGGCTCACTTCTTGAGCCAGCTTTGCTGGTGGGGGAGACCCGGAGAGTGAAGCCCTCTCCTGGTGTACAGGAGGACAGCAGGAACCTCCCGGCCTTTTGAATGCGATTCCCCTCATCTCACCAACTCATCAGATAGGTCCTTTTGTTACTGGAATGAAAGACATTCCCTAAAATGCAGAAATTATGAAAAAATGCATATCTTATGTATTTGTAAAACCTTGCACATTCCCATGGGTAGCTCCTTTAACACTTAATACTTTCAAGTACTTCACAACACACCACACACCAACTAACACGTTAACTGCTTTGGTCTCTCATAGCCAGCACTCCTAACTCTCCATTTTTCAGGATTCCCACAGCTGTAACGACCTCACCCACATAGCAAACAGTGGACAACTAACAGCCCCTGGAAAACTCATTTTGCTGTAACAACTATCACAAAAATCACAGTACATGAGAAAGCAAATTTTACCTGTATTGAATACTGTCCCCCAAGAGTCCAGGCAACACTGGCTTTAATTTGGATGGAAAGAAACAAGTTGTTTCTTGTTTAAATTTCAGAGCATCACTCAATAACCACTTCACTATTTGAAAGCAGACTTTGAACTACTAAATGCTCATGATCTGTACTAACAATTACACAAGAACAGCACTGGGGAGGGAGCAGCTGTTTCACTTTCCTTTGTGTGGTGGCTGAAAACAAACAAAAATCCCTCTCCAGGTGTTAACAGAGGGGTTTTAACACAAAAACTCACCAGAGTTCTGGCTGGCTTGATCTGCCAGGGAACCAAAACACACACTGGTCACTACTCACAGGCTCAATGAACAACTGGCACCTAAAATACAAACTAACTCAGACTTCTGGAGGGCTCTCCTCAAACTCAGAAGATGAAGACTTTGTTACATACAATTTTATTTTTAAAAAATGCTGTAACACACTTGCTAATAGGAAAATTGGTTCTTTTAATTAAATCCCATTAGTCCTTTTTCTGCTGAGCAGCCTGCTGAGCTGCCTGCTTGGCATTGTTGGCCTGCATCTTCTTCAACCCCTTCTTGTTGTGTTTCTTTGCAAATCTCATGTTCCTCAGAAACTTGGGATCAACCTATAAAAATAAGGGGAAAATAAGCCATGTTGTAGAAGTAACCTGTAAAAACATGCATATCTCCAGTTTGTTTCAATTATTCCTAAATGTTGGTTGTGACTAATTCAGATTTTTTTTTCCTGATTTTTCATCAAAATTGTTTTAGCCACCTGTAATCATCCTTTAATAGCTATTTGCCTTAATTGCCATACACAAAAAAAAAATCCAGTACCCCAGCAATAAACCCACGGAAAGGACAAGTAAAGCTGTAAACAAGGCAAATTTTATTTCCATGTCATGAGACATTCTGGATCTGGGGTACCACAAACTAGCCTTGGCAGCTGAGCACGTACACATGCAATCCTTGGGCAGAGAGCAATGCTGCTTCCTCAGGTCTTTCCTTTTTATATTAAATGAAAAAACCCCAGCACAGAAAAGAGCAGCACCTCAGTATTTGTCAGCTGCTGGCTGGTTGGCACACTCTGTCATGGCTAGGACCAATGCTCAGAACTACCAGCTACTGCTGCTCTGAGAAACACCGGTATTTCTCTTTAGAAAGAATTTTAACTGGCACACAGGAGTATCAGGATTTTGTCCTCTTAACCCATGCACACTCAGTGTGAGGGGACTGCTGGACTGTCTGGAGGGGGCAGGATTAAACTCTCACTGAGCTTTGCAGATGCTTTTCCATCACATCCAAAAATGTGACCATCACACCTACGAGGCAAATGGAGTCACAGTCTTGCCCAAATCCAAGATGTCCTGTTTTCACTTTCAAGGGTGAAAAAAAGATCCTGTTCTGTCACTTGGATAATCTCAAAAAAAAAGCAGTATTCTCTCACTTTCATGCATTCTGCCCAGAAATGCCAATTCTTCTCATTTTGTGAGTGAAAATTCTCTGGATTGGAACAATACTGAAGGGTATAGAGAAGGAGACACAGCAAGACTCAAAAGAGAGAGGAACCATCCAGCTGACAGGTATGTTTCACTGGAAGCAGCAGTGAGTGATGCCCACCAGAGCAGGACAGAGACAAAACTGGCCAATAACTGAAATGCAGTTTCACAGACATACAAGGGCAGATTCCACATGGGCTAAAAATATCACAGCTGCACGTAAAGTAACCAGAAGATATAAGAGAAACCAAATAAAACAAATACTGGGGGTTTTCATAGTCAAGCCTCAGTGGTCAGCAGCCTGGGAATACCAATGGAAATACTCACCCCTTTGAGAGATTCATATCGATGGGACCTGGGTTTCTTGATGCCATTTCTGTGCCACTTGCGGGCTGTGTGGAAAATAAGAAAATGGTTTAAGTGACAGTTTCTGCTTTTATTAAGCAGTTGCAAGAGCTTTCCTACCTGACTATTGATACAGTGCAGAATTGAAAACTTTCAAACCCTTCCTTGTCCCAACTAAACTGGGATTTAAGAACACACCTCTATTCCTGTCCCTCTACACAGAGCTCTGGGCACTGCAGGGTTTTCCAGTCTTAAGATTTCAGGCTCCTCATTCACTGATAACCCACCAGTGCCAGCACCACCAGCACAACAAAAGCCCTCATTCAATAAAGGTTGAGTCAGTGTCACTCCCAACTGTACAGGACCAACCACCTACTTCTGGCCTTCGGTAACTTACAGCACTGATGAGAAGACCCCAAAGAAGAGCTAATTTATCAACCTGCTCATCTTTGGATGGCACAGTATCACAGTCTGAACAGTATCTGGTAACATCACTGAATCCTAGAACCAGGAAGCAACCTTAAGGATCATCTCATTCCCCCTGCTGTCAGGAGGGACACCTTCCACTATCCCAGGTTGCTCCAAGCCCCGTCCAACCTGGCCTTGGACACTTCAAGGGATGGGGCAGCCACAGCTTCTCTGGGCAACCTGTGCCAGGGCCTCCCCACCCTCACCGGGAAGAATTCCTTCCTAACATCCAAACTAAACCTGCCTTCTGTAGTGTGAAGCCATTCCCCCTTGTTCTGTCACTCCATGCTCTTGCTAAAGACTCACATTCCCTCCCAGTGATGATCACCACAGGATCAATTAGGTTTGAAAACGCCTCTGAGGTCACCAAGTCCAACCTATCACCAAACACCGCCTTGTCAACCAGACCGTGGCACTGAGTGCCGTGTCCAACCTTTCCTTCAACACCTCCAGGGACGGTGACTGTACTACCTCCCTGGACAGTCCCTTCCAACGCTAAATCACCCTTTCTGTGAAGAAATTCTTCCCGATGTCCAACCCAAACCGTGCCCTCTTGTTCTGTTGCTTGTTGCCTGAGAAAACAGACCGTTTCAAATATGAAACTAGCCTTTTCCCTGGTTACGTATTAATTCTATATTGAGCCCAAACAAGCCCTGACTCTCACCACGCTCTTTCCAACAAACACATCACTCTACCCCCTGCACGCCACCACCTCGTCTCGTTGCAAAGCCCCCCCCGGCCGACTCCGCTGCCACAGCAGCGGGCAAAAGCCCCTCGGCCCACGCCGCCCCTCCCGCAGCCCCCCAGCCCCGCTCACACTGGTTGTGCGTGGTGTGGTTCTTGGACTTGGCCATGGTCGCACCTGCGGGAGAAACACACACGGCTCAGCCGGGCCGGGCAGGGGAGGGGAGCCGCTCCCGCCCGGCCCGAGCCCCGCTTATGGCCCCTCCCCGATACCCTCCGGCCCGGCCCGGCCCGGCCCGGTCCCCCCCGGGACGCGGATGAGCCCCGATGGGTCCGGATGGCCCCGATGGCTCCGGATGGTGCTGATGCCGGGCCCGCCCTCACCGGAGCCGCTTCGCCGCCGCCGTCGCCGCCGGGCCGGAAGAGACGGAGCACAGCGGGGGCTGCCGGGAAGTGGCGCCGCGCCGGAACCCCGTGCACGATGGTTCCGCCCGGCGATGGTTCCGCCCCGCACCCTGTCCCGCCTCGCCGCTCTGTGTCCGCCCCGCTCCCGCCCCGGGACACCCCGCAACACGCAGCGATGTGCAGACCCCAGCCCCTGGAGACGCTGCTCCCCTTAACAACACGGTCCCCCCGCCAACACGTCCCCTGCCATGGCCGCTGCCTGCACGGGGAGGGAGGCGGGGGCCGAGGTGTCTGTGCGCGGTGGCACGGCCGGACTGCGGTCTGTCCTCTCGTTCCGCCGCGCTCGGGCAATGCAGGCACACACGGGCTGTGCTCCCCACGGCAGGGCCACTGAACGCCCTTCACCTTTATCTGTGTTTGCTTTCAAACGCCTCGAGTGCTGTGTCCAGCTCTGGGCCCCTCAGTTTAGGAAGGATGTGGAGGGGCTGGAGCGGGTCCAAAGAAGGGCAACGAGGCTGATGAAAGGTCTGGAGCACAAGTCCAGAGGAGCGGCTGAGGGAGCTGGAGGTGTTTATCCTGGAGGGGAGGGGGCTCAGGGGAGACCTCATCCCCCTTTACAACTCCCTGACAGGAGGGTGTAGCCAGGCGAGGGTCAGGCTCTTCTCCAGGCAAACCAGACAAGAGGACACAGTCTTAAGCTGTGCCAGGGGAGGCTTAGGTTGGACATCAGGAAGAAGTTCTTCACACAGAGAGGGATAGGCTGCTTGGGAAGGTGGTGGAGTCACTGTCCCCTGAGGTGCTTACGGTGCTGAGGTGACTGGACATTTTTTCAGTGATTCAGTGATTGCTTGCAGAGCAATTGCTTCTCTGCCTCAAATTCAGATACCTGTGAACAAGTTCTTTCTATTACAAAAATAGAGAAAAATAGATGAAAAATAGCAATATTCTTTTAATGGCATTTTGCAGCTGGAGTACAAAAGTCTGCTCAAAGCCCTCCTTGACAGGCAAACTTCTGACTTTCTAAACCCTGTTGGTTTTTTAAATTCCTTCCACTGTAGTGAGCTGCAGTCTTAAACTACTTGTACATCACTGTGGCCAGCTAATTGCAGCCAACAGCAGAGGGAAATCCTGACTTTCCTGATAATGCAAAGAGCTGAGCTCAGTGGAAGATAGAACTGAGTCCCAGAGGTGTGTTTACCTCCACTGGCAAACACTGCACTGCTTGCTCCATTGCAGAAGGCAGAGGGAAACGGGCTGCCAGGTGCCCTTATGTTGGCCATTAGATTATGAAAACCCTGGGTCTTTTCCACTCATTTCTGAGCCTTCCTTCATAGGAAGAAACAAAAGGGTTTATTTTATGGTTTCACCTACCTTTTCCGAGTTCTTTCAGTATTCTGCTGCAATTTTTGCTGTTGGAGCTCCCTGGGAGTCTTTCCCAGCTGCTGGTGGGACCACATGGGATGAACAGCCAGACAGGTGGGGATAAGAGAAGCTGTGCTTAGTGCCAGGTGAAATACAAGACCTGTAAGACAAATTATTAAAATAAAACTGTGGAAGAGTGTTCAGTTTACAGGTCTGAGTGTAACATATTCAGGAAATCACTGCAAACCAGTGCAAAATATCAAGTAAGAAGGATGATCCAAGGCAGGATCAAGACCTGTGTGCACCACTGGGTGATCAAACCCCCTTGCATTTGATGAGCTGCCACTTCTCTAATTATGGCACTACTGGCAATGATTGGCCAGTTCAAAACCTTTAATCATTCTTTTAGTTATCACAGACTTAATTAGCGCATGTTACCCCAAGTGTCCTCTATTAAAGGAGCTGTCCTCATTAAATAGGATTGTAATTACTCCTGGAGCAAAACAATTATGAAAAAAAATCATAGGTTAACATAAAAATCTCACAGTGCCTTTGAGGACTGTGCTATCTCAGTCTCTGCCCTTGTGTCACACACGTTCAGGTGAGGGATCTCTGCTGGGTTTGTCATGGTTTTCATGCTGACACCACCTTTCAGCAGACTCCCCTAACCCTGCCTCCTCCCTCCCCGTGAGCTGACATTTGTCTTGGGGTAATGAATTACCACAGCTGTCCCCACTTAGTAATGCCAGGGACTCAGAGAGCTCAGTGCCCAGGCCAAGCGCTCTGCAGATATAAACCAGGAAAACATCACTAATTGCTGGGGGCTCACTGTGATTCCACCCCAAAAGGGCTAGGGTTTGTTGACACCTGATGCTATATTACATAGGTGTTCTGATATTACGTATTCTGATAAATTTAATAAGATGTCACATGTGAGAAACTTCTCCCAAGAGGTGAACAAAGCAAGGGGTGCCTGGGGTGCCTCCCTTGGACACTGCTTGCTCACAGGCCAGTGATGACTGGGGACAAGATGGGGAAGCCACTCAGGAGGCCTTTCCCAGCAGCTGGCAGCACAAGTGTCCTGCTGCCAACCCCCTGGAACTGGGAAACAGCTGTGAGACCCCACACTCCCCCATGCTCAGTATCTCTGCTCACCCAGTGCAGCACCAGCCCTGCCAGGATGCCTGGCCAAGTGTGTTGTCATGTCTGCAGTTACAGGAACTGCCTTGACTGGTGATGATTCCAAAGAACATCTCCTTGTTACGTGAGAAGATAAGGCTGCCCCCAGCTCTGCACGGTGCCCTCTGAAACAGGGGTGCTCGTGGGGGCTGCCCGTGGTCAGCGTGGTGCTGATGCCAGAGCTGAGCCAGGATGAGTTTTACAAGCCCCAGTTGTGATGGAAGGGAGCGAGGGTGACAGGCAGTCCTCAGGGACACATGGACATACACATCTCCAGAGAAGCCAGGAACAACAGGACATGGAGGCACTAGAGGGAGCCTGAGCATAACAGATCCCACTCCTGGCTCAAAGTGAGAGGACTAGTGCTAGTCATGGAGAAGGGACACCTCCAGGGAGTAACAGTAAGTTTCATACAACAGTTTCCCCCATGACCTGGCATCCTCCCTGGCTGTGCCTTGTATTGCCCTGGCAGCTGTTATAATTTCCTTGAAGACACGAAGAAATACTTTTCACTTATAGAAAGTGCCAGGGAGACAATCTGGCTCTGTGCATTTGCAATAGGAGGTGAGAAAAAACACTGGCAACTGGTGGCAACCGTCAGACTGGAGGGTTCAAGAGAGCAGGAGTTCTTGCAAGGCAAAGGGGAGCAGAAGTGCTGATCCACAGCCACAGATATCCCTGTGGAATGGGGAGCTGGCGTGGCACAGCCCTGCACATGCTCCTGGACTGGTGACAGGGACATGGGAACAGTAGCTGAGGGCTGTGTCCCCCACTGGCGCACTCCAGTTAGCACCAGTTGCAAGAGCTGAGGCACTAGAAGAGACTGGAAACCTGCAGTCTTTTATTTCCCCCATCAGTATTTTCACTGCATTGGCTTTGGACAAGAAACAGGACCGCTGGCTCATGATCCATGTCTGGATCTCCCCCTGTCAGTGCTGTCACCAAGGATCAGCACAACAAGCGTGAGCGAGAGTGCCTGGCTTAGCTGCAGATGGGCATCAGCGCCAGGAGGGGGCAGGGACTGGGCAACAAACACTCTGCACTGGTGTGGGAGTCTCCACAGTGCCCAAACACATCTGCAAAGTGCCTCTTCTTTTACAATGTTTGCACTGGGCCAAAAGTTGCTTTCGACAGGGTAATCAAGCTTAGCTCAGTAGAAATCAGAGGAGCAACCGGAAGAGATGGGTGAACAGGGACCAGAAACAAATGCTCCATCACTACTGGCTGCCCTCAGAGGCTTTCCTTCCCCCACAGAGCCCATCTCTTAGGTCAGCCCAGACCCTCCACACATTGTGCTCAAGTGTATGCCTGTAAGCAGCTTCCTTCCATGAAGGCAGGAGGAAAAATCAGGAAGCAGCCTGAAATGCAGCCCTGACCTTTCCCTCCAGGCCTGCCACCTCCTCCCACTCTCCCCAGAGCTGGCACTACTAACAACTGGTTTCCTCTTGTTATTTTTCCACCTCCACTTCTTCCTCCAGAGGGGAGGCCGTGCTGGTGGCCCACGTACCGGTGACTCACAGGCTGGGACCTGCGAGGAGCCAGCTCAGCCTGGCCAAACTTAGTAACATCTCATTTTCCATTGCCTACATCCTGGATGATGCTGCTGGCTGGGTTCATCACTGGAGGCCTTCTCCAGCTACCTGCAGGCTTTGGGAGGACCAGCAGTAGTTGGGCTGAGATGGAGCAGCCCTTGATGCAGATGAATTCTGTCTTGGTGAGTGTTTCTCCAGCTTGCTTATAGCTGAAACCCACGAGATGTTCTGGACATCAAAGAGGGCTTTTCAGGCCTGGGAAATGTATAAGTAAAAACATATATATAGGACTGAATGGTAGTTCCATTTTCCTGGAAGCATTTGAGTGATTTGAGGGGAGCTTAGGGGTTTAAAACTGATTCCACATCTCTGTCAGTCAGCCTGGTCCATCTGGCTGGATGTCCCCAAATCAACAAATGACAACTGCAATCGCAAAACTGAGCTCAGGGCACCTGCAAGGTGGGGAAGGATGGTCTGCAAAGATGGAGGTGCTGCCGTGGCTGGAAGCTGGGAATGGAAAAATCGTTGGATGACAAGCAGGCTGACTGCAGATGAGCAGGCAGAGCATGGAGACACGGCTCCTGGGCAGCTGCAAGCCCACTGAGCAGGACCCCGTGGCTGCTGGCAGGGCTGAGTGGAGGGGATAACGCCAGGAAGGGAGCAGCCGTGTGCGCTCAGCCCACGCTTCTTGCTTTAACGGGATTTTCCAGAGCACTTTTTGCCCCACTAATGGAAAAGGAAGCTCGCCTGCTGCTTCTGAAGGCTGGGGTGAGCGTGTGCAGCCGACGTGACACCTGCTCAACCCGCACTTCCCGAGAGCCCGGCTCTTGGGAGGGAGGGAGCGGATCCGCAGGCACAGCGTGTACGGAGCAGCTGATCGCTGCGGGGAGGAGGCACACGGAGGCGGCTGGGAGAAACGGAGAGGGCTGACCTAAATAGATGCTGAGCTAATTTATTCATTTCTCTGCTTTATTATTTAACACAACTTCGAAACGGC